AATTATTTAGAATGTAAAACAAAATTAATTATTTATGAAGAAAAAAAGAAAAAATTGATTATTTATTTGACATAGACCAAGCTTTTGTGCTATAAGGGGTTCCCTAACGCATTTCATTGAAACTTGATGGCCTACTTGGGTATTTTCAAAATTATGAAAAATATAATGCCCAAAACTATCCAATGCACTTCTTATAATGCTCTCTTTCCTACAAGCAAAGGTTTTCCAATGCACTTCTTATTATTGTTAAGGCACTTCGGTAAATTGTTCCTATTGAAATCAAATGTAATTCAAACGGTAAAATTTAGCACTACTTCCCACAATCTACATATTATCAAAAAACTATAAATACTCTTTGTTCTTGCAAATAATATATGACATAAAAAAGAAATTATAAATTACTTTTCTTCTCCAAAGTTAGTATTATGGCCTTAAGCGGCTAGGCCTTTTTTAGGGTATGTTTGGGGTAGCGGCAGCTTATTGAATAATCTGCTGATAAACAGATTATCCTGATAAGCTGCTGATCAACAGATTATCCGAATAAGTTGGCTTATTGCTTGGGTAATTGTTTGAAAACAGTTGATTTGCAGTTGTTTGTGGATAAATGACCATTCTACCCATATTAAGTAATATTATTTGTAATAGAACTGTCTTAACAATTGATCACCGAAATTATATGTGTAAAATTAATAAAGTTAACTCCGCTTTGCAACGGTGCCAAAAACATGATTCGTTATTTTAAGAATAAGAAATTTAAGCAATTTATGTTGGGATTCTACGCAAGTATATATATCGTTATCAAGTAATACAGGGATTTCTATTTAAGCCCCAAATATTGATGCCACGAGGAAGTTTTAAATTCACAACGGAAATTTAAATTAGGAAATTCACAACAATAAAGAAAATCTACTACACTAATTTTGAATGTTTAAGGTGTTATCATAATTAAATCACCAACTACTAGTAAAACTGTAAAGCAAAGCTAAACAATAACTACCAAACTATATTTTCGTGATGAAACTATCTAATATGAGAAAGCATCTTTCCCACTACAATGAGTTTTTGGTTAAATGAGAGAGCTAAATGGTTTTAATATGTCTTGTGCCAAATAGGAGCAATTTTAATTCTTTACCCTTAATCAAGTGTTATAGAGAATCATTGGCTAATTTTAGGTTTAGTCTCTAAATATGTGGTTAGGTTGGGAGAATACTGACTCTCACTCCATAGCTCACACTTCCCTTCTCCTGAAGTCTAACTCTCTCTTTAGTTCTTAAACACTAAGAGCAAATTGAGATTTTTGTCTGTCACCCTAGAATTTTTAATTTTTTGCCAAATAATATATATTTATATTTTTATTTGCACCAAATTCCATGAACGAAACACTCCTTCATAAAAACGAATGTGATTCTCACTTTGTTGTAAAACTCATACTCCATTTCCCGAATAGTATGTTTCACAACAAATGTTAATATTTCAATTGGCCAAATCGAAAAGTAAACTAAGAATGAAGTGAAAAAATCATTACAATTTATTGTATATTTTAAAATTGGCACATCCAAATTATCTCTTCATTTCATTATATCTCAGAGTTAGGAGAAAGACAAAGAAAACTACTCATACCTCATGAGAAAGATAAGACAAAATACGAATTTCATAATAAAAAGAAAGAACAAACACTACTTATCTTTCTCTTCCTCAAAGCAAATCCCTTGTAGCTCCTCTTTGAATCTTTCTCTCTTTACAAGACTCTTGATTCTCACTTCAAAGATGTAGGGAAGAAGAAATCTGTCACTTCTCTCCCTCTCCATCAACTCTAGGAGAAATCACACTTAGACTCGTCACACTAAACAATACACACAATGGAACACTAAAGAAAACTCCAGTGAATTTTGAATAAAAAGCATCCAAATTCATCAAAACTTCTAGAATTCACCCAGCACCAACATTGGCGTCGTCGACGCCCATGGTCCGAATTATTTCTTGAGCTCTCTGTCAAATGGCGTCATCGGCACCCCCACTGTTCTAAACTCCTCCTTCATGCTGGCGCCGTCAGCATCCATGCGGGCGCCGTCGGCGCTGACTGTTTCTTACAAAACTCTATTTTTACTCCAAATTTCATCATTTTTTCTTCCTTTTTTGCTTCAAGTGCTAAAATCATCAACCGACAATAAAACGTGAATAATACTTTCCTTTAAAGCGCAATATAACAAAAAATGAGTATAAAATATAGGTTTAAAATGCATATATATTTTTTTGCATCAGCAATATATTCGATACTGCAGAAAGAGAAAACTAATACAAAATAGTACAAAAAAGATGAAATAATCCTCACTTAACAGTGAGTATCAAATTTAATAAAAAAAGAAAAAAATTATTAAATTTACAATTAAAATTATGATAATATTAATTTTAAAATGGAGACGTCATATGTCACGAGATACAATATCTTCTAAGAATACCATCAAATCCCGATCACTATCGGCAGTGAAGTCTGGTGGATTGTCCGCCCATCGAAAGAAAGCATACCTCTCTGTGACGCTTCATGGGCAACTGTAGACCTTTCTCCTGTAACTATGTGCCCGACGTGATGTCAGTAAGAAAGTTTGTAGTCCACAATGACGTAACATTCGTTGGAAGGTTTTCGAAATTTTAGAGCTCATATTGTTTAAAAGCTACAAGAGAGAAAACATTAGTCAACTCAAAAAATTAAATTAAAAAAAGGTACAAGAAAATGGAAATTAATGAAAATAGTATCGTATAAAAAAACATAAATTGGAAAAAAATGTAGGTGTGTGTGAGGTCTCAGAGAACTAACTACACCAAGCAATGAGTATGTCACTGCATGAAAATAACAGACCATGTAAGAAAATGAGTTCTTGGTAGCCTTTAACCCACGTAAAACCAACGTCTTGTGCCACATGTGCATATCACCAAAAAAAAGGCCGTCAAGTAGGTCCTATATAACGATGCACAGAAAAGAAGAGATGATCTAGGTTGTCTTCATTAGGATTTTACATATAACAACGACAAACCGACCATCCAGAAGAACCCATAAGGTCATATGAATCATCATGGACCTCACGAACCTACAAAAAAAAAACAAATGAAGAAAAGCTCATAACAAGTATTTAAGTATTCAAGTGTCACAAGTTCAACAAGTATAAAAAAAGAATGCTTCAATTCCAATAAACCAGCCTAAAAAAACCTTCATTGGCTCACCAAAGATCCACACAGTCACTAGCACTAAAACCCCACGGCACTAGCACCAACCTTAACACCATATCAATTCCAAGTATACAAGTGTCACAGTTCCAACCATCATAAAAAAGAAAGCAGCAATTCCAAAAAACCAGCCTAAAGAAACCTTCATTGGCTCACCAACGAACCGCACAGTCACCAACACTAAAACCCCGCAACACTAGTACCAACCTCAACACCATAACAAGTGTCACAAGTCCGACCACCATAACAAAAGAAAGCAGCAATTCGAATAGACCAGCCAAAACAAATCTTCTTTGGCTGATCTGTGAACCAAAGAGCCAAAAATCTCGTGAAAAATTCCTAATATATCACATGAAGAAAAAAATCTCGCAAAAAAATTCAACAAAGAAAGCTAAAAATCACATGAGATGAGCAACAAATCCATCAACAAGAGTGGGATTACACAGACCAAAAAATGCATTCACTAACAGTAACCAGAGCACAGAGTGAGAAAGGAGATGAGAAGAACAGGCGAGAGAGGCGCAGGTAAGGGTGAACAAGCACTTACAGAGTAACCGGAGCGCTGAGTGAGAAGAGAGAGGAGAAGGGCAGACGATAGAGATGCGGGTGAGGGAGTTCGATCACGAAGATCGATCACAAAGCTAGGGCAATCATGCGGGATCGGGAGAGGGATCGAGGGGCTCAGCGATAATACACTCTAAATGAATGTGGGCCTCAGGGTCGATCCCGCAGTCGCGATCCTTCAGTTTTATTAAAAGAGCCAGACCGCACGTATCCGAAAACGCAGGGAGAACACCACAACCATACACCAGACTGTGTTCTCAAATCACGAAACACGATGATACCGCCACCCCAAACGGCTCCTTAAACTCACACACACACCAAACTGCAATAACTCATATGAATTTGTCAAAGATAAATTAAGCCAAATATGCTTTTCACATTAATCAAGACCTCTGACCATCACATCATTATTCAGAAAAATGTACTAATAACTACCAAAAAAAAGTCATGCCTATAGTCCTAGTTAACTCCAAACAGAAATTACAGAATCAGTTTGCCTTTCCCCGCAATTCTTCGGTTTCCTTCCACCAACAAACATTAAAGTAAAATAACAATGCTCGGCTCTCCAAAGAATTTTGTATAAAATTCCATTTCACACGTCAGTCGCCAATATTTGATTAAAAAGTAACCGCCTGCTTCATCTACTCCCATAATTTCTACCTACCCACATAAATTCAAGCAAAACTATATTGAAATAACAAAAAATATCATTTTTTTGTCAAAAACCTTTAGAACGAAACTGAGTTAATTAAAAGGGATTCTATCTCATAATTATTACTATTGTTATGTACAAATATAAATATTAATAATATATATATATATGCTTAAATTATTTGAAACATCAAAATTAAAAAAAAAATAAAACTTCCGAAAGGGAACTAAAACCATATTTGAAAAAAGAGGCATTTCGTGGCCGACTATGATTACCAGACAAAACCACTTTCTTCCTTTACATTCTATTCAACTTTACGCTTCTTTAATTTCAATTCAACTCGCCAGATCTTGACAGAGTGTGGCATTGTGACTGCTGCTTAATTGTCTTGACCTTTTGTGTCATTTCTTCAAACACCTTAAGTCCTCTAGTTTTCACAAACCTACAAGCAACCACCACATCATTCTTATATTTCTGTAAAAGAACTCAACACGTTTTTCCTTCAACTGCGCCATACATAATGAAAATCGCAATAAATCTAAACAACGAGAAGAAAAAGGCCTGCAATAAAGATTGTCATGATATACATTAAGAGTTTGATTTATAAAAAATACATGCTTAGCAATGAACCGTTTTACATAAAGAAGCTATAGTTTATTTTACAAAAATTTTGATGCGAATGCACATAAATTTATGTTGCCATTTGCATATTTTGTAATCAACCGATGCAGCAATCAGATGCATGAACAGCATGAGAACTGCAGCACAATTTTATCAAGCTGCAACACTGTAATTATGCAGAGGAATTATGAGATGCAAAATGGTAATCTAGAACTCCTTGGCCTTTCTTCTTAGCTCATTAAGTTCATTTTCAATTTCTATATCTCGAAAAGGAAATGCTCCACTTGAGCTGCTGATTGCCGTTCTACCAGCAGGAAGCTCTCCTTTCTGTTTAAGAAAAATGGAATCAGTACAGGTAACATAAACTCTTAAAATTGAGGGTGCAGTGAAAACATATTTGAATTGGACAGAAGATTCATTTTAGAAGATATAAAATTCAGACATCTGCTTACTACCAAGAAACAAAAATCTCAGCATGAGTATTGACTAGAACAAATCAAAATAATAATTTGTCACAAAATATTAAGTTATTCAAGGTTTATTAATGAACTCTGGTTTGCTAAAATAAATAAATAAATTTAATTCATTCTTAATTGATTGCTCGATGTGCAAAAGAGAGAAGAACAAGAGTATTTCTTTTATGTACCATGGCAGTCATGCTGAAAATTATTTTGATCTGATTGGAGATATATGAGTTACCGCTTCTGTTATATCAAATGCAAATTATAAATATTTTGTAAAATTCATTGATGATTATAATAAGTGTACTTGAAATATTTTTTCGTGTCATTCAGAAGTATACAGTATCTTCCAAAGTTTGATGCTTATTTTGAAACTTAACTTTCATCCTACAAAGTATTGAAATCTGACTCTGGGTGAATCTCACTTGAATTTCCAGATTTCTTTTTCCAAATAAGAGAACTACTTCTTAGAGATTGTCCCTACACAAATAAATAATTAAAATTTTCAACACAAAAATTGTCCCCTTTTAGTTGTTCAAATCTTATTACTAGAATCTTCAATTCCACCTAAATTTTTTGTTGAAGCATTGACCATGAAAATCTATCTAATCAATAGTGTTACCCCTAGTATCTTGAGTTTGAATTTCCTTATTTTCCAAAAGCATCCTAACTACAATAATATGCATACATTTGGTTGTGTTTTCTATCCATTTATTAGCACATAAACATAAAAAATTCCCAATTCAAATCTACTAAAAGTGTATTTATATGCTATAGTCCTTCTCACAGAGGCTATTAGTGTTAAATGATCTAGACTTCAAAAGATTATAAATCTCTCATGTTGTGCTCTTTAAACATCAAGTATTCTTCTCCACTAATGTTCAGCATAAACCTAAATTTGTATGTGAAAGAAATGTTGCCATCCAAAACTAAACAAACTGATCCGTCTTCTGAGCTGGTGCAATTTAGTTCAGCACCTGAGCCTGCTAACTAAAAGTCGCTAACTGATTCTAGATGATCATCTAGAATCTTGCATACTCCAAATTGGCATGCAATTCACATTACATTAGCCTTAATTTCTATTTCTTCAAATTATTTTGAGGCTTGTAAAAATAATTGTTGGGAAGAAGCTATAACTAAAAAACTTCAGGCTCCCAAGAATAATCATACAAGGGAGATGGTTTTGTATCAATCAATTATTAACAAAATAGAATGAAAATGGGTATACTCAATAAAATTTCACTCCGATGGTACCAAGGATTACTACAAAGCAAGTTTGATTATCATTCGTAACAAACAAGAATATGGAAATAATTATGAAGAAATATTTAATCATGTGGCAAGAGAAATACTACAATATGAATAATTATCTCGACTGCATCTTCACAAGGATGGACACGCCATCAAATGGATAGTAAAAATACATTTCTTCATGGAGATCTTAGGAAATTTTCATGACTCCCCCACTTCGGGCTTGATGAGAAAAATCTTTATATTTATATGCATTAGAATACATTTCTTCATGGAGATCTCAAAAATCATTCTTCATGGAGATCTTAGGAAATTTTCATGACTCCCTCACTTCGGGCTTCTGAGAAAAATCACACAAGGGAGACGGTTTGTTCTCAATCACTCATTAAGGAAATATAACGCAAATGGGCATGCTCAATCAAATTTCATTCCGATGGCACCCAGGATTACTACAAAGCAAGGTTGATTATCACTAATAACAAACAAGAATATGGATAAATAGAGCCAATATGATCAATCATTATCTCTGTATAACAACTCCAACGAAATATTTGTTCTTCTAATTAATGTTAATGGTATTACCATTATTGGATAAATTTGATTTAATTAGTCACTTACAACATCTTTCATATGAAAAAACTTGGTTCCATTGCTTCTTGGATTTGAACGTACACACTAATATCTCCAATACATTCTTAAACAAACATACGTAAACACAGGATATATTTACTTGGGCTAGCCTCCAAAATGCTTCCTCTCCAGAAACTCATGTAGAAGTAAACACACAGCACATCAGTGAAAATGACAATCTTCTTCCTGTTACATTCAGGCAATTGGTAGAAAGCCAAAACCATAAGACAATTACTCGATCAAATATTTCCTACGCGATTCAACATATAAAAATTTTATGCAAAAGCCTCACACTTACATTTACGTGTCATTACTTGAATCATTCGATACCTTAGAACACAGAGTTGTGGCTTATTCCTCCCATTTGGTTGCCCTCTTCATCTTGTGAGATATAGTGATGCGAATTGGGCTGTGTCCAAATGGCCAACCACAAATTGATGTATATTTCTCCATGATTATTGAATCTAACGAATACAATGGTACAAAACATCTCTACATGTCCAAACCATCTACTGAGTCTATATATTGCCATTTTCTCAGCTTCCAAATCTACTCAACTTGCCTAGACATCACCGAGTCATTTGATCTCTTGATACACAAGGCACTTGTACTTTTCCCAAAGTTCAACATAATGTAAACATGAAATGCCATTGCACTCAAGACTAATTGATTTGATTTTCCTATGATTTTTTAGGGCTTGCTGTTATTCCTTGACGCCTAATTAATCATCTCAATATGTGCGTCACTACACTGCACTATCCACCAACTTAGCAATCCATAAAGAAACAGGACAATATCCAGGAAGAACTGCAACAGGAGAATAGTTCCATCAAAGTGAATCATGAATGAATAGACAAAAGAAAGAAGAACAGCAGATAATACCAATGATGTCCCAGAAAGTTCTCTCTTCAGCTTAGCCAGATCATCATCAACCGACGAATTCTCCAGTAATGCAAACTATAAAACCAAGTGAAATTCCATTTCATGAGCTAATATAACTTGAAGATGGGAAAATACACACACAACTTTATTATAGGGATATCACCTTTCCTTCCAGATCATCAGCAGTAAGCTGATTAAGGGCCTCCGCTTGGGACTCCATTGCCATAACTGTTTCCAATCCATTCCCCCAAAACAAAAACTCAAGCTGAGAAATTAAAAATAGAAAAAAAAAGAAACCTACCTATTGTCGTAATGAAACACAAAACAGGTAAAAATAAAGCCAAAAAACAATAGCAGTATGTAGATTGCACAGATCTTCCTTCTAGGCCAACATTAAAGAAGTTATAATTTGCACTCCATCCCATACTTGTAATGCTAATCTCGTCAGCATATCATTTCTATTAATGTAAATTCTTAATTTCAAACTAAAGAATTCAACACTGTCAGGTCCTCTGGGAGAAGATATCACAGAGCTAACTGGGTTTAACAATGCCATAAGAAACAGTAGAGCTAAGAAAGCGTCAAGAAACATGCTACCTCATAATCTAAAATTGGCTAAGAAAAAAGAATATTAAAAATGAAAAATAATAGCAGATAACCACATTAAGTAAGCTGAGTAGCCCATCATCAGCGCCTTGAATTTAGGATATGGTACGAAACTTGGAAATTGAATTCTGAAAGTAATGGCATTCTGAACTAAACAGCAATATATCTCTGCCATCCAACAGAACATGGAATTAAAGGTTCCAAGCACCGCAAAGTTACCATTGAATTCTATAAATATTGGAGTTACTGAACTAAATTTCATGATATCTTGTCACAAAAATAAACAGAGTTAGAGAACTGAAGTACATTAAAGTTAACATGACAAACATAGCCTAAATCATCAATTTAATAAAATTTACCTAAGCTTTACGACAAGATAATATATGAAATCGAAGAGCTCACCCTTTTCCTCCATCTTTTCAAATGCTGAAAGGGCGCTACTGGTATTAACATTTCCCAACATCTCGCTAACCTTTGTAGCAGTCCTACAGAATATTGAAAGCAAACAAAACTTTAAGGACCAAAAATTGAAAGCAATGTACCCACCACCTTGTTATAAGGCAAAAGAACAGACTTCGCCGATTGTGCCCGGGCCTTTAGTGTATCCTTCTTAGATCTAGCCTCCTGTATCTTGCTCTCCAAAAGCTATATGTAAGAAGATAAGTTGATTTTAAAGTAAGGTTATAAATGGAAGTTGTTATGTATCTAACAGCTAACCAATGTAAAAAACAAGCAACTGTCCTAGTTGATTTTACAAGAAGTTTATCTATTTACAAGAACATGAAGACAAATATTTCATCATAAAACATCTAAATGAAGTAATAAATATTGAAAATATTACAGATAAATTATATCCCAAAGAAAGGCAAATAGAGTATTATAATTTACATAAATTTCAAGATGTAATTTCCTAAATCATCCTCATTTTTAACACCAACTACAGATTTTAACTTCAATTGCCATCACCTTTAGTGGCGGAACCATTTTGGCTCTCATTTTAAGGGTCTAGGGGTTAAATCAGATATTTTTTATAATTTTAACTTCAATTGCCAATATTACAGTCTGAAGACCATTTTGATCATTTCTCTACTTCACATAAAAATATAAATATTAAGTACAAGGAAAAAAGATAGTGTTAATTTATATTAATTTTAAAAAATTAAAATGTACACTAATTGTCATTTGCATAAAAAAAACAATAAAAGGACATTAAGACTAGTACCTTAGCAATGAAAAAAAAACATTTGACAAGTAAATGGGCAAGCATAATCAAGTGAGGTCATATGATTGACATGATTAAATGTTGAGTTAGGCAAGCTCGAGCGCTAAGCGAGATCTTCTGTGCGGTACTATCAAGCAACCAAGGTTAATTAACCTAAAATTTTTTATTTTTGTTAATATTTTATGTGATTTCTTATCATATATATATTTGAGATTTCTGAATTTTATTAATGAAGAATGATTAATTCAATGATAAATAAAATTTAATAAATTTCATTATACCTTAAAAATTAAATTGAGAGAATTACTTTACATGAAACAAGAAAGCTAAATTGATTTTAAAATTTATATTATTCTAAAAATAAAAAAAAATTATTATGATAAAGAAAAATTGGCATAAACATTAATTCAAGTTGTACGTTTCTATGTTATGAAATAATTTTACGAAATTAAAATAATACTGAAGCAAAAATAATTTAAATTCATAAGTTAAAGTATAACGTTATATTAGATAATTTTGAAATTGAGAAATTAGGGATTTGTCTATAATATAGGGTTTCAATTATAAATTAAAGATTTCTAATATTTATTTAGACAAGAGAATAAATTAATTAAATAAGATTATATATTTGAATGAAAGAAAGTACAACTACCAAATGAGAATAAATAATATTGTGTATATGTAGTTTAAATAACATAGTTTATAGTGATTAGAATTATATTCTAAGATATTAAATAATGATAAAATAATACTTGGAATATAGATTAAATGAAATAATTTATTAAATTGCGTGTAATTGTAGATGTTTGATGATAAGAATAGGTAGTTTAAAATAATTATGCTCACTAAGTAAAAACTATTACAACAAGGGATGACGGAAATATAATAAACTATAATTAAAAAAACATTTTATGTAAGTTATTAACATAAATATCTAATGTGTGGAGTTTTTTATTAGAGAAACTAAGTTAAAATGAGGCAAAGTTAAGGGGCAAACCCAATCTTTTAAGATCTAGATAGGTGCTCATGTTTCTAGTTTATGTTGATATTACTGTTCTTCTAAATCATTGATAACCATTTAATCTACTATTATTGAAAATTTATTTATGATTCATCTCTTTTATGAAAAGGTTGGTCATATTGAATACAATGATATAAATTTTCTTTAAGTTTTCAAATTACTTATCAAATATCATTTCAAATTAATTAATTAACTATAGAAAGATCTAATATAAATGAAATAATCAATATAGGATGCATGCATGTTTATACTAACTGATATAATTCACACGCTCATGAAACTAGTTAAGGACCTAAGGTACCCACACACATAAAATATAAAAAATAATCGTTTAAAACTTAAATAATGTGCTTTAAACAATGCTCTTATGACAAATATAATATGAGAAAAATAATATAGAAAAGATAAAATATTATTCGTGTTATATAATATAATATTTTTAAATCATTTCCACGATCGACCTTGAATAAATAAATTGTCAAATAATTTTATACAAATTTATTGAATTTAGCAAGCTAGCTTATTGTATTCTTATTTCCTTTATATTATTTATTTTTAGAGGTATAAGTATCTAGTGCGTTAATGATAACTCACAAAAATTTAAACTAAGATTTTTATGATAAAATATTGAAATTAAAAATGAGTAAAAGATGAGAAATTGTTTATCACAAACACAACCAAACAAGAAGATGGCTAGAACCACTCTAAATTTAATGTAATTTAAATTCTTTAATTTAGTGATTTCATCAATGTATTGAAATTTATTCATATATGAGAAGCATGAAGATTAAATTTTGCTATCATTTAAGATTAGTAAATGAAATTATTATTTTAGCTCGACAGCTAATTCTCATATTAGTAATTGTAGATTCTGAGGTCGAATCAGAACAAAACAATTGAGAATTATTTTTATAAAAACTCTAGAATCATTTCATTTCCCCAATATTTATCATAGGACTATCTTCATGATATATATGTTTTAGCTTAAGGTGATTGTTATTGTAATGATTTTAACAAATCAGAAATTAGTAACTATTTAAAATTGTCCATAATTGAGAATATTCTCCATATTATTTCATTATTATTGAATCTCTTGTATTTTTTATATAAGGCATTTACATGCATGCCTGTTGAACACAAATTTTTCATTGAATCACACTCATGCTACGAAGGAGAGAAAAAAAGAGGGAGAGAACTGAGCAGGATGGCGAAGGTTAAAGGGGATATTTTTGTATCTCCAAGGATTGAAAAATCAGAATCTATTTTACATTTAATATCCCCTATTTATAGGATTTAATCTCCATATAATGGTATGTTTAGGCATATATTATCCATAGACCTTTGGATACATAGCTGTCTATAATAATCATATCCCTACTAAAGTTAGGATCTTTACGAGGTCTTCTTTCTATTCACTCCTTTATTGAATCGTGATATTCTTCCCCTTTGTGCTTTGCCATTCATATCCAATCTATCATACTCGGCCTCTCGTATTCGGCCTGCAAATGCCTTATTTGACTTATGTTGATAACCTGACGCTCTGGGTTGACCCTTTGCAATCCACTTTTGGATTCATCTATTTGGTGAGTTTTTGCAAATGAACGGACTGAGAGCTACTCGATCCTTATTGATCCGATTAGTCGTCTTTTGGTCATACATATTTAGTTCCTCGATTCTCTCATATCTTAGGAAGTTCTGCAATAAGAACAAGAATTGAATGTAATAGTTATTTAATTTTTAATAAATACTCATGTTGCGAATAATCCCTTGGATTCCAAAGCCAATAACTCTTATAAATACAGTGATGAGATGTCTTTAAAGCTCATTTGTTTCAGCATCTTCCTCTTGTTTTTAGACTCAATCACCTCCCCGTGTGCATCAGCTAATTATGGCAAATCATACTTGTCGCAAACAAATATTCCGGACAAGGAATTGCTCTGTGGTATGTTCTACAAGCAAAAATACATAAAGGACACAAAACGACGTAAGGTTGTAAAACGAAATAGAGTCGGTTCATCTCCTGGCTAGGGGGACTCATCTAGGATGACTTCCACATATGTCGTCGCAGTGGTAGTGGTTGTTAGGGTGAAGCCACCAGCAGTTGGTCCAATCGATGGTTCACTCTCTCCGACAACCATCCTCACTCCCACGAGATCGCCCAATCGTGAGCAAACAGGTAGAGTAGAGAAGGACCCTACAGCTTCAGAGTTATTGGCAATTTTTAAGTCAACAGGTACATATCAAGATTTTGCTAATTTTGTTCATACTACTATAAATTATGTTTTGCTTTTACTCCCTTATCTCGCATAAAGAATATTTTACACTTAATAAAATCTGCGGCACTAAAGTCAACAGGTACATATCAAGATTTTGCTAATTTTTTTCATACTACTGTAAATTATGTTTTGCTTTTACTCCCTTATCCCGCATAAAGAATGTTTTACACTTAATAAAATCTGCGGCACTGTTATTACATACAAAGCTCAGGCCAACTAAATTCGAATGATATTCCAGGTACTTTCTCGAGGGGAGACGAACAGTTGATCGAGGCAATCGACCACCCCGGCCACGAAGATAACCCTCAGGTGGAGGCAGGTGATGATGACACCAAAGGAGAGAGGGAGACTGAAAGAATTGTGAGGTAACATCTCAGTCGTGTTGATGATGACACCCCAAAGGAGAGAGGGAGACTGAAAGAATTGTGAGGTAGCATCTCAGCCGTGTTGATGATGACACCGAAGGAGAGAGGGAGACTGAAAGAATTGTGAGGTAACATCTCAACCGCGTCTGAACAAAACTGACAATGTCTTGGTGCATGCAATAGTTGTGACTTTCGTCATAGAAGTGGTCGGCCAAGCGACCCGACTGAATCAGTTGGAGCGCAAGAAGACTGTAATAAAGTGGATGGTCGCCAACTTCCTCCAAGAATTGGTAGAAATGAAGGAGATAGATCATTGGTATCCCAAGCTCACACCTAATCCAGTCACTTGAGTCCATTTAGGGTCGAGGGCGAATTCCTACATCATAGGCTTATTTAGTTGGGCCGGTCTTCTGATCGACATCATTTCGGACCCATGCATGGGTTTCCTATTTTCTTCTTCAAATTAATGTAATTTTGTATTTGGGCGTCCTTTAATAAGTTCTTGTGCACTATTTAAATAAAAAAATACCACTTTGTTGCTTTGATCCCAGTGTTGATATAATTTATATTTAATAAATCAGACTCTTTGGTTTTCTGTGCACCACGTTTTAACTTAATTACCATTTTCATTGACGGTTACGGTTCCTTCACCATTTATAAAAAGGTTTTTGGTCGTGGTGATATTGTTCCATTTTTCATTTTCTTCTGGTGATTCTCTCTCTTTAGTCAATCATATATTTTTCCTCTCGGACAAGCCCAGG